AAGTGTAGTTTGCTGCACTGATCTGTTCCCTGGGCCGAGATCACTTTGAATTGGCATTGTGTAGTCGAGGGTGGAGACCTGTCCAATGCACTGTGGGCAAGACACCTTATCAGAGTCAACTATAGCCTCCCAATGGGAGGATCTCAGTTACCCACCTATTTTATGGAAATGGGGGATTTCTCCTCAGCTTGTTCCTTTGACCTTTGGGCTAAGGGCAAGCCAGACTCAGGGGCATCCAAACTCAGAGGCCTCCAGGCATGGGGCCTTCATATAGGATGCCTGCCATGGATTTGGGAGTACCTAAAGCCCCAGGCTGAAGAGTCTGGGAAGGAGGATACTTGCCAGTGGTAGCACCACACAAACTTGAATGATTGAGATGGCTCAGTCGATAGGATTTGGAACTGATTTGGCTAATTTGGCCTGAAACACTCAATTAAAAAAAAGAATGGCTGTGCTCTGCACAGAAGCAAAAGGCTGTGCAAGGTGCAGTACTTTTAACTAATTAAGGCCTGAAAATGGGTTTGTTTTTCTAAAAATAAACCTTGTCTCATTTGGCCTAGGAAACACCAGGATTGACCAGGCTTAATTCCTCCCTTTTTCGTTGGAAGGATTGTTGGGTGACTTCAAAAGGAGGATATGAAGCGTTCTCAGTCTTTCTTGAAGGAACTAGAAGAGCTTCTCTCATGTGTATTTGTGTTCTAAGTGCAACTGCTCAAAATATGCTAGAGAGCTGCATACCTTGTAGATACAAAACCCTGCCCTTCCCAGCTATTCAGACCTCAGTACCTGTGATGTGATGTACTTATTAGGGGTTTATCTGAACAGTCTTCTAGGGCAGACCAGCCAGGATTTGTAATGAAAAAAATCTAGGCAAACACAGAGACCTTTTCCTTCCCATTATAAAGAAGGAACAAGGAAAACCCCCCACAGGGCTAATGATTGTTCCTAAAGTGCACTTGTAACCTTCCCGTGTGTTGGTTTTCCTCCCAGTAAAGTGACCTAGCTGGCAGAGCTGCTGCAAGGGCTCATTCCTTAATGCACAGGAAGCTCTCTGTTATATGCTGAAGTCCTATATAGACTTGCCCGCCAGCAAAAAACAGGCAGGCAGGAGGGTGCATAGTGCTAGGAGCATTTCCCAACCGTATCTTTTAATAATAGATGAGTATTGCTTAATATGATGTTCTCATCCGGCTAGCTACAGCTGTAGGTTCAAGAGTTTTTTCAGTGAAGCCAGAAAGCACGAAAGAACTGGAATTAGTCCCCTGCATGTTACAGATGGATGCATCCTTCTGAAAAATCACTTTGTTCCCTAGATTCTCTCTAGAAGGTGATGTTTGCTAAAGGATTTTTTTTCTGGACTCCAGAGGCCTCTGTCTCTGTAGAAAATGGGTTTTGTTTACAGATCTGGAAGCCCCTGAGCTCCATATTCTGTCTTCTCTGAAGCTGGACATCTCTCTCCCTCCGAATGCCATGCTGATCTGCTGCCCAAAGCGTCCAGCCCCTGGCTTGGCAACTAGTTCTCACTGCACAAGAGCTCCTGATTTTTTTTCCTATAAAATTGGTGTGTCTGAGATGTCTGAATTTTCAGCTGAACTTGAATTTCCAGTTCTCTTCCTTGTCCCATGCCTTTTAACAATACTGTGATATGACCAACTACACGGGTGAGCTGGCTAGCAACAACTAGGAATAATGCTACAGGGAGATAAATTTATACACATCTCATTTGTGTTGCACTCAAAGCCTCTGGGGGCAGTTTTTTGCATTCTGCCCCACAGATCTGTAGTGCCAGAGGGAAGTCAAGGTGAAGGGAAGGCACTGGCTAGCAAAGAGTTTTTACTGGTTTTGGAGCAGATTGACTGAATATTTCCATAATATTCAAAACAAAAGACTTAGCAAGTCTTAGTGAGGAGATTCTCCCTTCATGCCAGGGTAAGAAGGAAAAAAGAATTATAAGCCCTACTACTGCTGGCATCAGGAAAACATTTATTTGGGCAGGTTGTTAAATAATTGCCCCCTAAAGTTTCTTGCCCCTTCTTCTAAAGTGATTGCCATTGGCCACAAGGTAGATGGATGCCTTGGTCTGAGTCTGGCAGTTTCAGTATACCGACTGCAATCAAATAGCACAAGATAGACCTAGCCTTCATTATCCCTGCCTGCCTTTAGAGTAGCATGGATCTGTTTGGGACACCTTTGACCTCTCCCATCCTGGGTTGGGGTTCTGGGCCAGTTTTCATGGCAATAGGGCTGCTGAGGTATTGCAGTGTAGGCAGCCAAGTGAGCCAGAAAAACTCAGGCATGTTTGCAGAGCAGGAAATAAAAGTTATTGTGTAACAAACAGCTTCTTCCTTCCCTTTACTTTAAGTGGGAGTCAGGGAAAAACTTTCCATTGTCTAGAACAATGGTCTCCAACCTTTTTATGGTGAAGATCACTTTTTGGTATCCCAGGATCTACCACGTCCCCACCTGCCCCTCCCCTGCCCCTCTGCCCGGCCCGGGGGGCAGGGGGCATGATTTAGCCCAACCACTTGCGTCCTGCCACTCCAGATCATAGAGCCTCTGACAGACTGTGAGTCTCCATGATAGACCAATTGATCAAGATAGACTGGTTGGTGACCACTGGTCTAGAGGTCAGGGTGTCTCTGGATGTGTTGTGCCAAACCAGATGACTCCAACCAGATTCCATTATATAAAATATAAACTGCTTTTTTGCAGCACACAACCTTCAAAATCTCAAAGGCCAGCACATACTTTGAATTGTGCTTGGATGCAAGTCCAGAGTTAGTGTAGAAGGCAAGCAGAGGGCTGGCTACTGCATGTGTGGGTATGTCTAACAGGAGTTGAAGTTCTCACTTGACCTTCAGGTGCAAGTCCTTGTAGCAGAACCAGTGTTCAAATGTGAGAACACTGGTCTCATATGCCCCCCAGATTTCAGTCCTGGCCTGCTTTTCACTCTGGTGTCTCAGTGTCCTTCTTGCTCTTATATAGTAATTTGGGAGTCAGTCCTCAGTTTTGCCAGAGCGATACATCAGGTCACCAGATTCTGTCAAGTCTGCCCCAGTCAGAATGAATGCTGCGAACTCTATAGCAACTACTTGCCTACTTCCAAGGTTCACCAGTTCACTTTGCCTCTCTGGCTTATCATGCATCCCTAGCTCAGCCCTGAGTTCCCTGCCTCAACAGCTTTTTTTTTTTAAAGAGAACTTTTCATGTTCCAAGTCAAATCCACCAAATCAATTCCGAATCCATGAGTCAGTCCAGAACTGTAAGTGCCCCTACTACCGGCAAACATCCTCCACCCCACCTGGGGCTTCAGCTGTTTCCAAATCCTTTGGCAGGCATCCTATATGCAGGCCCAAGCCCGGAGGCATGGGGTTTGGATGCCCCTGAGTTTTGCTTGCCCTCAGCCATATGGCCAGAGGAGCAAGCCCTGCCCCAAACAGCTGTCAGGCCTCATTAAGCCCCAAAATAATAGGCACTGCAATCCAAGAACCTTCAACAGCCTCCCGTCTCCCCAGCAAGCTGCCCATGCCTCACAGCAAGGCACCTGGGAACAGGAGTACACTTTCCCCAGAATGAACAAATAAAAAACACTCAGCAGTGCCAAAGAAACAATGCAAATACTCCTGGGCTCCTTCTCCCCAGGCTTTCCCCTTCAGCTAGCTGGTCAGCCCCAGCCCCAGCCCCAGCCCTTCTAGGCATTCTCATAGCTACAGTCCTCAGGGAGCATCTCTCCCCCGCACTGTCCAAGCTAGACCACACAGCTCCTCTCCAGCTTTGGCTTTATGTAGGCTCTGACTCCTTCCTGCCTGCCCACAAAAGTCCTAGTCTTAAAGATACCTCTCTTTCTTTCCCTTGCCCACTTTCTCCACAGTAGTGAGGTAGGGGCACCCCAGTTCAGTCCCTCTATTACCAATTTCATTTGTTTCTAGCAGGGCCCATCACGTGTCAGGTATTGTGCAAACAAGTCTCGGCCCTGAAGGTTTTACCAGAACTCAGTGCAGTAATCAAGCAGAGACATGGCTTATCGCCAGAGCACTCAAAGGTACTGAATTTTGTTGGACATCTCCCAAGCAGAACAGCGTTGGACATCTGCCAAGCAAAAATATGTCTCCCAAGGAGACATCTCCCAAACAGAAGGGCCTTCCTCTTCTGTTATAGCGTAGTGTAGACTGCACCCAGCAGCAGTGTGTTTCAGTCTCCCCTCTACTGACCTCTCTTCAAATTTCCGTGTGCTTCAATCCTCATATCCCAGTTCTAGAAGAAATCAAGCATTAGCTCTTCCATTTTATGAAAGAAAGAAGGTACTAAAAGCAATAAAATGTCACATGAAAGAGTCAAAGTTTACCCATTGAATCATGCTAGCTTCAGACTGAATGTACCAGTCGTCAGCTTTCTCCTGCTGATTAATAAACAATCATGTAACCTGCTGGTTAAAATATGTGTCTTTAGTTGTTGCTGTAGAGGGGGAAGGGTAAATTACTCAGGGCTAAGCTCAACTACTGCAGCCGCTCCACCCCACCCTGGTCAGAAGTTAAAAAAACTAGCCATTTCAAGTACGACTTATCCTAACCTCATCTACTTATTAAGGTGGAATTAAAAAGTTCATTTTTGAGTGGCTACTTACCATATGTTTGCTACCGCATACTAACAAGTGCCTTTTCAAAACCACAAGAGATAACAGGAAGAGCAGGAGGATGTAAAGAGAAAGGAAAATCTGAGAGGATGAGAAAGGTAAGAGTTCAAGGGGTTTTTTTAACAGTCAATAGTTAACAGCTCTTGCTCTCTTGATCAGTCAGCCCTTCAATTCCTTTGAAACTGTACTGGCAGAGTTTCTTCTTCAGCCTGGCATGAATGTCAGCAACACCTCCGATACTACTTTTTCCAAAACTGAGACACTAAAATAGGTAAATGTATGCAACATTTCTATAAAGACAATGGTTGGATCTGGTTCAAGTTAGATAAAACCTAAGGAGTATAACACACAAGCAAGGAAGACCTACAGCAGGCCATTGTTGTTCTTCCATCTGCCTCCATCTCAGCGGGCTGCCTGTCGGTCAGGCTGACAGCATATGCAGATGATGTGACTGTCCTCATCAGTGCCCAGGGTGACATCCGGTCCTTGGTCACATGTCAAGAAGCCTATGAGCATGCTTTTTCAGCTTGTGTAAATTGGAACAAGAGTGACACCCTCCTTCTTGGTCCCTGGGTCAACCCCCTCCACCCTGACTTGCCGGGGGGGGGGGGGGGTTACCTGACATTGGGAGGGCCTCAAGGCCCTGGGGGTGTTCTTTAGGCCATTGGTCTTCTCAGCATGGAACTGGGAGGACCTTGGTGCCAAGGTGGAGGTATGCCTGCAGCGATGGTGCTGGCATCTGCCCAGCCTCTCCTACTGCAGGCGGGTCCTTATTGTCGACAACCTGGCAGCTGCAGTTGTGCTGTGTTGGACCCCCTGCCGGACCTGCTTGAGAAGCTCCAGCGACTGCTTGTGGACTTCTTTTGGGACGGGCAACACTGGCTCCCATGAGTCGTTCTATTTATTTGCTGGTGGCTGAGGGGGGCCAGGGTTTGGTTGACCTGGTGGGCAGGGTGGCAGCCTTCTGCCTACAGGCCCTCCAAAGGCTCCTCTACTGTGAGGACCCCCTCCCCTGGCAGCAGCTAGCTAATTTGTTTTGTACTGGGTGGGGGGCCTTGATTTCGACTGGAAGCTGTTCCTTCTGGACCCCACCCTCCTGGACTGGGGTGTCCTCCTGCCCTTCTATTGAAGCCTGGCAAGATGCCTTCTGCCTCCTGCCCCAAGCCAGGCATCTGCAGTTTCTGCAGGAGCCCCTGATCCATAACCTAGCCCTGCAGCACAGTCTGCCAAGCCTTGCCTCTAGCAGCCTTGTCGACTCCCTCATCTGGTCACATACCATCTGGCTGGGACACCTGCTTGACCTGACCCAGTCAGACTGGTTGTCAGCTGAGGCTCTGGCCACCCGCTTGGGCACACGCTCAGTCCGCTGTGCTGCCCACTTCCTAAGGGATGTGCGGGCTATTCTCCCGGAGGATGCAGCAACTGCCCTGGAGGAGCACCTCCGAGTATGGAGAGCCCTCCCTGCCGGCGATGTCCTGGGTGAGACCTTTCCACCACTGCCCATTGTCCTGGTTGTGGATAGCAACCTGCGTGGTGGGCCTGCCATCTTACTGGCTCTCCCCGTGTCTCCTGACAGTGGTAGAGATCTGCTTTCATGTGCTCCCCCAGAAGGCCCTGTATCTGTGGGTGATTCGGGTCCACCATGCCCGCGTCCTTGCCACTTGGCTCAAAATGGTGTGGCAGAGGCATGTGGCACCCACGCCAGCCTGCCCTGCGTGGTGCATGCTTTATAAGCCTCCCATCTCCAAAATGACAGGTGACCACACATGGGATACTGGCCACTGGCACTCTCATTCATCACATGGATCCAGCTGCGTCAGTGGCCTGTCCTTTCTGTCCGGGGGGAGTGGAAGAGGACCTTAACCATGCCTTCCTCAGACGCTCCCGGCTGTCGCAGCTGTTTGCTGCCCTCAGTGCTTTGCTTGAGGCACTAGGTTTGGCCTTCTCGGAGGCAACTTACTTGTTCTCCCTCCCCTACCGGGTAGCCAATGGTGGTATCATTTGCCTGGCCACCTTCTTACTCTGTCAGGCTAATCCTCAAGAGTAGCTCAGGAACCGGCTTGCCTGGATGATGCCCTGTGGCTCTTCCGGTTTTTGGTGCGGGTGCACCTGTCGCTGGAGTTTGAGTACGCTGTCCTCCGGCAGACGGTGCCCGCCGTCCAGGCACGTCGGGCAATTCAGGGGCTGCTTTGCGGTGTTGAGGGTGGCCATTTAGTCCTCGCACTGTAATACTGCTCCCCCCTTCCTGGGGTACCAGCAGCAGGCTGATGTCGCACTGGATATTCTTGTTTTTAGACTGTGAGGGCAGGGCTTGCAGGCCATAGACCTAGGCCAGGGGCGGGCAATTATTTTGGGCAGAGGGCCGCTTACGGAGTTGTGGCAAGCCATCGAGGCTGCATGACTGGCAGCCCAGGGCAGATTAATATTAACTTTCTAAATGTTTTAGAGGGTGGGACACAACAGCCTGGCGGGGCGCATCTTGCCCCCCCTGCCCTCGGCTCTGTCTGTCACACCTGGACCCCTGCGTGGGCAGTGTTTTATCCCTTTGTTGGGTTGTTACCCCCTTTTCCCCTTCATAAACCTTTATAAAAAAATCAAAAGTCTTTTTTTCCTTCCTTCCTTCCTTTTCATTGAAGGAAGCCAACAGAAACACTGCTCTGCAGGGAGTTGGGGGAGCCCTTCCCTGCCCCCGGGGCTCCGGCTCGGGGCTGTCCGTGCCGCGGGCGGCTCCGGGATCCGGGAAGGCGATGCACGGCCCCTTCTCGCACCTCCCAGTTTTAGTTTTCTTTTCCCTCCGCTTTTCAACGTGACCCAGAAGCTGCGCGGGGCAGTTCCGGACGGAAGGCGCCCGCGGGGCGGAGCGGGGAGCGGGGAGCGGCGCGGGGCGGGGAGCGGCGC